AACCAATATAACCAATATTTAGCCCATATCAACCCATATTAACCCAATATTTAGCCCATATCAAACCATATTAACCATGGTTACAAGTCTAATTATGTTCCTTGGTTCTACAAATACAGTCTAAGTTACGAAGAGCCTCTGTTCGCAGCATCAGATCATCAGGTCCTGTGCGTGGTGGCGCTCTATGTCTGGGGCACCCAGTCCACCCTATGGTTTATTCAATGGATTGGTTTAGTCGGGAAAATCAAAAAACCAGAAACCATTCCGATTTTCCCATGGAATACATATGGGGTTGTCCGGTTTCAATTTTCCCTGAAACCAATCCATTGATTTATGGTAGATCTAATATAACTATATGTAGTTACTGGGGTTTATACACCAATGAACATCACTGGGGCACCATCCTGAGTTACCATGTAGCAATAAGTAGCCTCTAGAAATTTGTTCTGTTTACCATCAACAAGAGGGAGTTTTCATGGGATTTCATTGAGTAGATGACATAAAAGAATGCTATAGCCTCTGGTAATTTGTTACATAGCTATGGAAAATAGTTCATTTATTGATGGTTTACCTGTTGAAAACGGTGACTGTCCAGTTCGCAAACTGTTACATGACCAGAGGGACCCCAAAGTTTCCCATGTGAATGGGGAGAACTATTTCGGGTACATGTGAAATGTTCAGACAAGCCTAAATCATTTCAAACTGGTTGGTGGTTTCAAATATATTTGTCCATTTCATATATGGGATGTCATCCGAATCCCATTGACTTTCACTCCATCATTTTTCAAGATGGGCACAGCCAGCACCACCAACCAGGACCATGTCATTCAAAGTGAGATTCCCCCGACTGGGAACCCTGCTGTGACTGCTGTGGCCTTTTTGCTTCAACGAACCAAACAGCAGCCCGCAAACCTGGCACCAGTAATGGTTCCCACTTCAGGATGGTTCCCATCTAGTAGGGACCAATGTGAGGCCCCCGGCCATGATAGCTCAGTTGGGGGCCACATAACTCCAATGTCACTATGGTTTATGGATGTTTATGGTACTTATAACTATAGTTACTGGGGCGAATCTAAACCAACTTATAACTGGGGGGCCTCACATTGTAGGGACCTTCTATTCTAGACAAACTGCAAATATATTGGCGTCTTCGAATTATTTCTTCTCACATGCAAATGTGTGCTGAAATTCCGAGATTTTACCCATATTTCTGCGTTCTATTTACCCTATTTTACCTATTTTTTCCTATGACCATGGAAAATCACCATTTGTAATGGGAAAGCTCACTATTTCTATGGCCATTTTCAAGTTCGCAAACTGTAAACGTCATAACCAGAGGGTAAATCCCATTGATATCCCATTGAATCACTATAAAATCCAGTTAAATCACTATAAATCCCATTAAATCACCATAAATCCCATTGAATCACTATAAATCCCATTATATAAATCACTATATCCCAATTTTCACCCAGAAACCACCCAGAAACCCATGGAAATCATGTGGTCATATCCGGACGCTTTCTCTCAGGATTGGTCTTCAGTACCAGCGGATGGTTCCACGCTGTCCGCCGAGGCAAACGTCGGCGCCATTGATTCAAGCGATAAGCCACTTACCCTCTGGTAATTTAATATAGCTATTGAAAACGGCAATTTATAGTGAGTTTTCCCATTGAAAATGGTGATTTTCCATAGTTATGTTAGTTTACCAGAGGGTATATACTTAGCCACTTATTATATATATATATTTATATATAATATTTAGAGTACTTACTAACCATATTTTTTGGTGATTTCTCTGTGAAAATCATGATTTTGGGATGAAACATGCCGATGTTTGCTGGTTAAAGCCAGATTTTGTGCTTAAAGCACTACTCTTGGTGATTCGAAGCCACATCTTTTGCTGGAACTGTCCCATGATGTCCGTTTGTCCGTTCATCATCCGTGACGCAATCACTGATTTTTGCTTGAACCCACAATCAATGACTATAAATCACTATATAAGTCACCATTAAATCATTATATAACTCACCATAAATCACCATCAAATCACCATCAAATCACCATCAAATCACCATCAAATCACCATTAACCCATGCCTTCCTCATGGTTTTCCCCAATCATCACCAGGACGTTGAGTTGCCCAATTCTGGAGCGGCGCGAGGCGAACTCACCAATTTTTTGGGGTGAAACATGGTGAAACCTTGGATAATATGAAGATAATGGATGATTAGCTGGATGATTAGTTGGTAAACTTTAGGATCTTTAGATTCTCGAAGTAATTCTTACCATAAGTAGCGAGCTGTAACTTGGTGCTGAGTCTCAATGATGGCTAGTGACGGGGAAAGGTCCTCAAAATTACCCACAGTTTCAGCTTTGGGTTCAGGTAGTGGAGAACTGCGGGAAAGGACTGGAACCATCAGAAATGGTAGCCTCACCAACAAATATGGAGAAGTACCCTCTGGTAATTTAATATAGCTATTGAAAAATGACCATTTATAGTTGATTTACCTATTGAAAATGGTGACTTTCCATAGCTATGTTAAATTACAGTAGGATAATGAATTGGATTTTACTGCTTTGACGTTTTGTCATTCTGATCAGGCAAATAGTAGCACCAAAAATGTCATTTTATTATGCCTTCTGAAAGAAGAAACCCCTAAAATATGCCCTCAAATGATAGTTGGTATTGGGATGATCCTTAAAATATCATTCCTCTCTGGTTTCTACATACAAAAAACGATGGAAAGATCCACCATGCTATCAATGGGTAAATCCACCATTTCGACTGAGCCATATATAGTAAACCCAACTAATTAGAAGCCTCCAAGGTCCCCCCAAGTTCTCCATCCACCATTTCTCGCCCTTAGGAAGTTTGGTGAAATTCGCCCTCGGGGGTGAAGTGAAAGCAAGCAAGCCCGGAGTCCCGTCACGAGCCTTCGGAGCATCCAGGGGATGTTCATTTGTTCGGAGATAAGTAGATCGGTAAAGATCGTAAAATGCTGGGTTTTTTTGTCTGCTTGGTGGTTTCAAACATGTTTTTTTTCCATCATATATGGGATAATCCTTCCCATTGACTTTAACATTTTTCAAGATGGTTAAAACCACCAACCAGAGTCCCAATAAGTATAATATTATATCCAATATATATCCAATAATTATAATATATAATATATATTTTCCCAACCACCAACAAACGTTAATATTTCATCGGGTCTTAACGTTTGTTTGTTGCACCCTCTTTGGGCCGGTCATGACCGGCGGCTAATTATATCGTCGTGGTGCCGTGTTTGGTGAGATCCAAGCAGCCTACAGATGTCAACAGATCTTGACACAAAAAACAGGATGGATAATAGTGGTTAATAATGGTTAATAGTGGTTAAGAATGGTTAATAGTGGTTAATAATGGTTACTAATGGTTACTAATTGTTAATATATGGTTAATATATGGCTACTATATGGTTAATAATGGTTAATTGACAAGTCCGCTTTGTGACCCCAGATCCAGCCAGAATGGACCCAAGGATTTCCCCAAAAACAACCGAGGCTTTTAGACCTGAGCGAAGTCAAAACGATGAAGTGACCGCTGAAATGGGAAAATCATGATGCCACTAGCAGAAAATTTACCCTCTGGTAATTTAACATAGCTATTGAAAATGGCCATTTATAGTGAGTTTTCCCATTAAAAATGGTGATTTTCAATAGCTATGTTGAATTACCAGAGGGTAAAAGAATGTAGACCTGAAAATTTCAGAGAAACCCAAATTTGTGAATGTGTTAAAGCATGGAATGGGATAGTTAGACCTGAAGAGGTCAGGTCCTTCTTCCAATGTTTCCGTCTCACCCAGATATTTCAAAGGCGTGGAGTCTTAGCCTTGGCTCCCTTGGCTCCGCAAAAGGGCAAAGAAAAGAAGATCAGTGATATTTGGCAGACAGTCATAAGATAACAATCATATGTGATGATATGATAACTTATCATTGATGATGACTGGATAATGACTGTTATGATGACTGATAATCATATATTACTGATATTGTTATGATAACAATCATTTGATAATCACTTTGCAATCATGTTTTTAAATTCTTCATCAAATGTACGCTATCTACATGTCCATACGGTCTTCCCCATAGTGGCCCCATTCTGTTCCTGCACCATTCCGCATCATGTTCCACGACGGTCATGGGTGCAGACCGAAAACAGTGAAATTCTGCAGTTGTTTCCTGAGAAGAAACGGCAATTCTTGCCTGTCTTTGTTGCGATAACCATTTTCTCCATTCAATGTTTTTGGCGGCAATGTTCTACCGATCAGTCATCATGTTCCCTAATAAAAATGAGGTACCCTATTTTGTGCAAACCCAAAACAATCAGATTGTTGGTGATGTGCCATTGTATTTCCATTATTACTGGTGTATATCCCATATATCCCCGTATTTGTTGCTTAACGCTGCCAAGAAAAGACATAGATTCCCATGTTTTCCCGGCTCAGCTGCCGCATTCTTTTGGCCATGATTTTGTGGCGCGGCGTTGGCTCAGCGTTGTATTTGAGCAGTGGCTGAGTTCGACACCCCATGCTGCGTAAAATGATGATATACTGGTGATATAGTTTGATATTACGGACGTATTTTAACAAAAAAAATCAGCACACATATCCAATACCATTCTGTTGGTTAAAAAAATGCTTCGGGGGCACTATCCAATATGATTAAGAATCAAATGATCCCGCTGGGCATTCCCAACGACAGGATGGGGTGGTAGAAGACTCATCGATGTGACAACTGTGATTTGCATGTTGTTATTGTTGTTATGGTTTTCCGAATGTGTTTGAAACATATTGTTTTTTCAATATTCTATATATTCTTCAGATTCAGAAATATTAGTGTTGATTGACATAGAACATTGATATTCAGTCATTCATTCCTTTCAAAGATTCTATTCAATGAAAGCCATCAAATGTTGGATGATTCTTTCATCCGCTGCAAGATGAAACAAACACAAATCTCTAAAGGCGTTTATCAGTTGTCTAAAGACATCTAAATATGTTCAGTCTCAGTGTGTTTGGCTTCCTTTCGCCCCACTTTTCCATGGGCTGCGCCGAAATTTGGCGTGCTCGTGGGAGGCGGAGGAACTCAAATGTCGGAACCTTGGAAACATTGGAGAACCATTTGGGCATCACTTGATGCCACTGTGATTTTCTAGTGCAAGCAGCTTGTCTCTGAAAATGGAGCATTTTCCCGAAATTCCTGGATATTTCGTGGGTTATTTGAAGTTTTGCTCCAAAAAAAGTCCGTGAAAATCGCCACCAAATTCGTGTCGGGTTACCTCCATGCCATTCACCGAGGCTCCGATGGGTGCTGGGACTTTTCCTCTTCTGCCTGGGATCTGCGTGTTACGCCTTGCTGGGAATCCTTTCGCAGCTCTCCAAATCGCCTGATGGTAAGCCTGGGCTGATTGGGATCTCCGGTCAAGCCCGGATTCTATTCATGGCCAGCGGCTGTTTGATTGGGATATATATTGGGATGGAATGTCAACGTCGGAGTTTTGAAAGCTACTATTGGGCTATGAAAATTGGGTACCGTTTTTGATCAACTCATTGGGGAGTACCCCCCTTTTTTAGTAAACCATGACCCCAATTGGTCCAGGCTTCGCATGAAAACCAGCAATGATACCGGAGTTCTTCTCGGAAACCCATGGCTTTTTGGATGTCTCAAAGTCCCATGCAGGTTTGTTGATGCAAAAAATCGGTACCCGGCCTGGTAAACGTTTACAGTTTGTGAACTTGAAAATGGCCATTGAAATAGTGAGTTGACCCGTTAGAAATGGTGATTTTCCATAGTTTTTTGTATGTTTACCAGAGGGTAACGATGTAACCTTGATTGAACAGCAACAGGTGCATGAATGGAAATGGCAATCCAAACTGGCCCCTCTATTTTCCTCAAGGGTAAGAATTGTCTTGCTTTGTTCATAGTGTAGGGGTATTGCAGAAAGAACAGAAACATATACATGTTCATTAGATATACGTATACCTATACATATACATACCTTATATATATATAATTATATATGTGTCGCATAAGATTCTAACCAAAACTTTCTGATTGTAGAAATCGATTGCAGAAATCGATTGCGAATCGCACAGCCGCACAGCTGCTGCTTGAAGTCTCAACTTTGGCCAGGTTCCTATGGCTATTCTCTTCCCAGCGTGGTTTTATTGGCCGAGTTCACCAAACTTTGCATCAGCTGCTTGGCCCCGATCGCGGGTTCACCGAGCCGGTCTGACTTCAGCTCAAGGGACGAACGGTTCTTGTTGGCGTTCTCAGAGATATTTACATGATATAATATTATCATGTGGGTAAAACAATGTCATAAACCATCCATGACTGGGAACGGTAACCATACCACCTATAAAAACGGTGATACATTGTTTTACCCACATTACTTATACATTACGTGTGCACATAGCAGATATGAATATAGAATGCGTGCATAAGAACATATATGTATATACAGAGGACAACCTATCTATATGTGATTTACTAATTTATGTTTATATACTGTATGTATGCTGTACATTATTCACATGTGTATATATATATATACACATCATTATTATTTTATTATTATAGTCACTACCATGTTCATTCTCATTATGTTTATTGGTATTCCTATTAAGCCAATTGTTGGTATTTGTATGTATATAGATGTATATAGTTTATGTTCTAGTTCATTCATTATGTTTATCAAACACCCCCATAGTATGGTCCCATGTGGCAAGGAACCTTTCTAAGCCATGGGCAATCGTTTGGAGGTCTTCAAAAGCCATGAAACGGATGGGATGGGATGAAAGTGACGATATGAATGGAATATGAATGGAATACCACATAGTATATGCTGGTTGGGTAAATTATAACGACCTCACTGCGACCTGGCTGGAATCATGGTTAGTAAGGGGAATCATGCCCATTTGAGGTTAGTGAAATATTATAATTACCCATATATATATACTGGTTGGTGGTTTGGAACATGAATTTTATTTTTCCAGATATCGGGAATAGCAATTCCAACTGACGAACTCATATTTTTCAGAGGGGTAGGTATACCACCAACCAGACATATATATATATAACTGGGATGAATCGATATCAATATACAGTTACATGGATATCAAGTACTGGATTACTGGATTAATTATTGGACTTTTCTGCTTTTTTTGTCTTGTTGATATTACTGAAAAGTAATTACATGGAGATATGTATATTATGACACACATTACTGGATTACTGTATATTACTGTTATATTACTTTTTTTGTTGAGTGTGTCATGTCTCTTCAGCAGAAGACGACGCTGAGGCCTTTGTTTTTTGACCGCAGAGAGCGGTTCCATTTCCCAGGCTCGAGATTTCTCGGCGTGAACGGCGTGGCGGTGGCTGGGTTCAACCCCAAAAGATTGCCATGCTTTTTAACGGGGGAATATGATGATAAGTTGTGGATTATAATTAAAAGGGGATGGCTGTGATTCAAAAATCAACAAATTCAGGGGAATATGTCTGGATTTTTGACTGACAGAAAATTCATGAGTTTGAACACTAGTATAAAATAGTTGAAGGGTCTTTTTTGCAGGAAGTCCATATCAATTTGCTGGAAAAATCCAGTGATTCTCTACTGGCAAATTTTCCCTCAGCCAATATATGAGCGAAAAAGCAGTGTCAAGGGGGTGGGAAAATTGCAAAATTGATGGACACCATGGCAACATTTCTATGAAATTGCTGGGCAGATTCTACGTAAATGTTCCAATCAAGTTGGGGAGACCGACATGGGAGTGATGTTTGTGATGTTTTTCATGGGTACTTGTATGGCTCAAAATGACTCCGTGTAAATTAGATGGTTTCAGAGTGTCGGATCCAAAAAATGGATCCTGAAGGCCCTACTGAATGGAGTCTTCACAGCATATCCAACCATTTCTGGTTATTGTGCCATTTAAATGTGTGGCGAAGTGGTTCCCATGATTTATCCATAGTTATTTATGTATGGCCATGTATGGTTATTTATCTCATCTCCAAGTATGAGATAAATAAGCATCCTATATTTCCTATTATTTATCCATATTATTTATCATACATACAAAATATAGGATAATAGGATATTTATCTATATAAATAGGATATATTTATCTATATATTACCTATATATGTTCCTATTATTTATCCATATGATTTATGGTTATTGATCTCATCTCCAAGCATTTCAACCTGCCATGCCCACGTGCCACAAAACGTCAGGCACTAAAGGATGTGCTTGGGACTTCTGTGAGGACGTGGCGACTGGGCATCCCGTGGGCATCCGGTGACCATGGGTGTCTTAAGGGACTTACCTCGAAATAGTGGATTTTCCCATGAAAATAGTGGATTTTCCCATGAATAGCATGGTGATTTTCCATAGTTATGTTAAATTACCAGAGGGTAATCATCTGTAAATGGTCCATGGATTTTCCATGCTGATTTATATGGATGATATATGGATTATACATGGATTGTATAGTGGTTAATTGTGATTAATAGTAGTTTTAATAGGGTATAAACCAACAACAATGGGAATATGATCGGGGTATATAACCAACAATACAGGATGGGGCCCCCGTTCGATAGCGTTCACTTGCCTTATGAGTTACCTTATAAGTGGCTGAATTCTATGGTTTATGCATGATTATGCTATATATATATAACTATAGTATTCATGGAGTTTATAAACTATAAACCAACTAACATCACTGGGTGGCACCATCCTGTACCATCCCCATATGGGGGTTTCCATAGTCATGGGGGTACTCCTTTATCGCTGGATGGTGAATATTTCATGGCAAATCCCTGAAAAAAACATGGATGATACCTGGGGGTAGCCCCCAGTTATAAGTTGGTTTAGATTCGCCCCAGTAACTATAGTTATAAGTACCATAAACCATAGTTATTGGAGTTATGTGGCCCCCAACTTAGCTATCGAACGGGGGCCTCACATTCTAGGAAACCTCCAGCCCTGGCGCGACACGAGCGACCTCGGGGCCTGTAAATCATGGACCATGATGCGGAGCAACTAAGCCCAATTTGACTTCAAATCAGCGGGATTTCATTGTGAATTATCATGAATCTGGGTAAATTTGATCACGACCGAACCCTGTTCTCCCGAACCCTGGAATCATGGTTTATTTTAGGGAATCATCCCCTTTTATGGCCCAACAAGTCAGGTTAGTGAAATATGATTTCATTTACCCAGATGAATGGCCAAATGTTTTGTTGAGATTTACACTCGGGTAATCAAACATGGCAATGGAAGGCCACCATTGAGTTTTGATCTTTTTTTTCCTATGTAAATACCTGGCATTTCCCTTAAATAGCCATGTTTGATGACACCGTTTCGGGTATCAGAAATTCTCAAGTCCTACCCGGGTTTACCCGTGGCCACGCCCCAGGTTGGCCTTTGCCTTCCCTTCGGCTCTCTATTCGCAGGGGCGCCTGGCGGATGTTGTAACTTCATCCATGGGTGCAATCCTACGTGTTGTAATGTGGGTAAAACAATGTCATTTGCATCATCACCATTTTTATAGGTGGTATGGTTACCATTCCCAGTCATGGGTGGTAAACATGACATGGTTTTACTCACATGAAGATGTGAAGATGAGAAGATGTTTTACAGACCCCCACTATTGGAAGAACCCTGCGCTCAGACGCTCTCGGGAATTAAAAATGGTGATTTTCCATGGCTATGTTAAATAACCAGATGGTAACGAACTTAATGTAAACCACCACTCGAATGTCAGCTCCGGGCTGCCAGGCCAATTGTTCCTTATCCATTTCAGGATATGTTGAACAATCTAGATTCACAGATCAACTCAGAAACAATATATCAATTGATCAATTATTAAATCATTGTTCAACATGGTCAAACATTGTTAAACATGGTTAAACATGATTAAACACGGCTCAACATGGTTAAACTATATCAATGTTATTGTAGGGCTTCGCACACCGGCGCTGCCCCAAGGGTTGTTGTTGTTGTTGTTGTTGTTGTTGTTGTTGTTGCTGTTGTTGTTGTCGTTGTTGTTGCAGTTGTTGCAGTTGCAGTTGCTGCTGCTGCTGCTGCTGGTGGTGGTGGTGGTGGTGTTGTTGTTGTTGTTACCCCTGCAGTTGTTTTCTCAGTCTCGTAGTGGGCAAAAATCGTCAAATAGGTGTTGTTTTCACAACAGTGGTTTGGTCGGCGCTATGGGGACCTGCTTCAAGGTTTCACAGTTTCATCGACAACGCATTGCGCACTGCGGCAGCATCAGCGTTGGTGTGGCGGAAGCCCGCTTGAGTGGGCAGGGGGGTGGCACCTCGGTTTGCAGGGCCGATGGGGTGGATCGGACGGCCCTTGACTTGAAAGAAAAGGTTTCGCCGGGCTCTGCGGGATGTCAGCTGTCGAGTTTTAACTGGGCCCATGGTGAAGAAGGCAACACTCTTCCTCGAGCGCGCTTTCCCTTGCTGTCCGCTGGGGTCGGCGGATATCCCATTTCTCCAGAGTTTCTCCAGATTTTCTCCAGCTTTCAGGAGCAAGTCTCCTTATCCAGACTTCAGGTTGAACAACAACTTGGATATGCTGAACAATCAGCACATGGATCCCGCCACTGAGCAGGTGCTCGTTCAGGCGAGAAATCCAGATGAAGATGGGGAAAAACAGGAAATTATATGGTGATAGAATAGTGGTGAATAATGGCGATTAATGGTTATCATGGTAAATGCTGATCTTCCATGGAAGTTTTTTAAAGATGGTTTTAGTCGTTTTATAGTCGTTTTAGTGATGGATACCATGAAAACACTACCAAAGAATCAACACCAAATGTTGGCAAAACCCCATGTTTAATGGGATTTATAGTGGTTTAATGGGATATACCCTCTGGTAAACATACCAAAAGCTATTGATGTTATAGATGCGTCAATGTGTAAAATCCATCTTTGGTGTTTTGAAATGGTCGATTTCCCCGAAGAATTTTGACATTTTGCTGTGTGTCCAAACATGGTGATGCCATGGTGTTTTAAAACCCCTCAGAATTTCCATGAATTGGATGTGAAATTCCGTTTTAGACAAAACTGACAAAATGTCGAATTTCGGAATACCTCTGAAAAATAGAAAGAAAGGTTCCATCGTGGGACAATCGCACCTTGAAATGCATAGAATGCATTTTGTCGTTTTTTTGCAGCAAAAAGAACATGTCGAATGCAACTTTTTGTTCTGTTTGAAAACCACCCTGACGAATCACCCGGTGACAGCACGGGTGCAAGGCAAAGATTCTGACCACGGGCATCGTATGGTGGTCCGATACCCTGGGGACCTGGGCCGGGAATTCCCAATCGATTCACTTCAGCCTCCACGTGAACCATTACTGGTTGGTGGTTTGGAACATTTTTCCATATATTGAGAATAATAATCCCAACTGACTAATATTTTTCACAAGGGTAGGTATACCACCAACCAGTATATGGGATGTCATCCTTCCCATTGACGAACTCCATCATTTTTCAAGATGGTAGGTCAACCACCAACCAGATTAAAAGTAACTCTATTGATGGGTTGATGTTTTGGAGTGACATGCATCAACCTACCATAGCTACCACAGGCAGAAATATTCTTCCAAACCAGTATCCATGATATAGGTTTGGGATAGGTCAAAACCTATAGGTCAAATCTATGAAAATCCATGTCCCACATTGAAGATATTTTTCAGTGGATGAATATCCACCAAAAACTCACGCAACGCAACCAGCGTTTGGCGCTGATCCAATGGCCCATGGCTCACATCCCAGGGCCCCATGGCGTTCCAATAGCGTTTTTTAAGGTGGGTCTTTGGGCGCACCATGGGTGGCCGCAAGTGGTTTGCCCTGGTTCTCCTCTTTCTGGGTGCGGACGCCCTGGTGGAATCTGGTGGAAGCTCCGAGATGATCCACCAGAAATGGGGCATTAGTAGGACCCAAGAAGTGGCGAAGATCTGTAGATGTACCGCAAGTGGTTGTAGTTTCGCCCTAGAAAATTGATATTGGTCTGGAATGCAAAAGCCTTTTTGCTTTGGTAGGTTTGCAATGGAATTTCAGGTTCTGAAGTGTTTTTTTTGGTGATAAAGTGATGTGAGGATGAGGTGGTGCGGCAATGGATCTGCCATTCTAAAAAGGCAGCACCAAGACACTGCATGGCTGTTGCTGGGAACCGCATTTGTCCACACCCCTTCCTCCAACCTTCCTGATTTTTCATGATTTTTCCCGAATGCGTAGCAAGGGTTCCCGTTTCACTCTGGGGGTCTGGGGGCTGAGGGTGTGTTCGCTCGACGTTGCGTTTGTGGTCGCAACCGTTCGCAACCGTCCGCAACCGTTCGCAACCGTTCGCGTGAGGACCGTATGGCCGTGCCTATGGGAAGTTTTACAGAGGTGGTCCTTTTTGGAGGTTTCAGACGTCTGGTTGCTTCGTTTCGCGTGGCAGGCGTGGCACTTCGTGACATTCAGACGTGTTCTGCAACGTGTCGAAAGTCGTTTTGCGTGGCAGGCGCAATACTTTTGCGACGTTTTCAGAAGATGTGTTGCAGTTTTCGTGGCAGGCGCAGCACTTTGGACGCGTCCATCGTCATTTTTCGTGGCAGGCGCAGCACTTTAGACGCGTCCTGTGGCGTGTTTTTTGTAAATCGCATTGGCAGGGCTGCGTCAAGTGGTGACAAGGTGCAAATTCCGTGGCAGGCGTGGCATTTTCTGACATGTGCTGAAAATTGACGGAAGCCTCGCACGAAACATCGATTTTGAGGTTGCAAATTTTCAGGTTCTAAGGAAAACTCGTAGGAAAACGTCGATTTTGAAGCTGCAAAGTGTGAAAAGTGGAGGAAGTCTCGCACAAAATGCTCGTTTTGGTGCTCCCACCTGTCTCTTCTCGCGTGTCTGGTTTTCCCGTGGCCTCGCCGTGTCTATGGGGGAAGCTGCAAAACTTGTCTTTTTATCTTGTCGGCAACTGTGAAAATTGCCGGAAGTCTCGCACAAAATGCTAGTTTTTCTGTATCCACGTGTCTTGTCTTGCGGCGCTTGTGTTTCTGTGGCGTCGCCGTGTCCATGGGGGAAGCTGGAAAACCTCTCCTTTTCGAATGTTTCCAAGCAGGTTGTCATGTTGTTTTGCGTGGCAGACGTGGCACTTTTTGACATTCCAACCTGTTTGATCATGTGTCGCAAATGTCACAATTGGAGGAAGTCTCGCACGAAACGCTCTTTTTTCTGCATCCACGTGTCTTGTCTGTGTGTCTCGTTTTCCTGTGGCGTCGTTGTGTCTATGGGGGAAGCGGCAAAACACCTCCTTTTCGAATGTTTCCATGCAGGTTGTCATGTCGTTTTGCATGGCAGGCGTGGCACTTTGTGACATTCCAACGCGACGAAAATGTTAAAATTGGATGAAGTCTCGCATGAAATGTTCGTTTTTCTGCACTTACGAGTCTCGTTTCGAGTCTTTGGTTGTCCTGTGGCGTCGCCGTGTCTATGGGGGAAATTGCAAAATGTCTCCTTTGCCAAGGTTTCAAATTTTGAATATACTAGATTGTTGGTTCAGTGAGGCTTGCGGTTTGTAAATATATGGCAAGAGTGCGATTATGTTGAAGGTGGAAAGTTGCTGTGTGGCCTCATCCAGATTTCACACAGTGTCGTTTATATATTTTTGGTTCTGTGTCGGCAAACATTTCGGCTGTGCTCAATAGCAAGAGAACGTTAAGCAGTCACAGTTCATGAGGAATGTTGTTTTTAGGGATATTGCAAGATGGTGATTTTCGAATGTTCGTGAGAGATATGCAAGCAAATGTCGCATGCACGGAAGTGTTGCTGATTCAGGCATGAAGGTTGACGGCGATGTTGTTGAAGATCTTTGTTTGTAGACACATCCGCAGTTTTCAGACACGTGATGGATGTGTCCTTCTTTTTTCGCTGCAATGGCGTAAGCTTGCGCGCCAGAACTGCTTGCGAGGGCGTGCCGCGCGGTATGTTGCCGCTGCTGCGCTCTGGCTTGTCGCGGCTTGCGGCTGCTGCTTGGCGCTGCTGCTTGGCGCTGCTGCTGCCGCTAACTATGCTGCTCGGTGTCCTTGCTGCGGTGCTGCTGCCGAGCTTTCTGCGCTGTGTGCAGCTGAGATATCTGCATGGTTTGCTGCGGCAAGAGGCGTTGCTTCTGGAGTTTGTGCAACGTGTGCCATATACTACTGCATGATAATCGAAAACTCCGTCGACATCGCAGTGCCTTGGCTTCATGTAACGCAGTGATGACTGGGCTTGTTGATTCGATTGCAATTCTCCGAATGCATATGCTGCAAGCGGACCGTCTATCGAAGTTGTGTTGGTTTTCCTTTGTGAGCAATGCTTCAGTGGTCGCTAGGGACATGTTTATGTGATTGCAGCCTGCGAGTGGGAGATGACGGTGGTACGATCTTGCTTTTTCTGTTGGAAAGTTTCTTTTCTTCCCTGCGTACCTGAGGGGTTATGTGGGCTGACGATTGTTTTCGCACGACGTTTGGGCTTGCATGCAGACAGCGACTCGACGTGTCAAAGATACACATTCATGTTGGTCATGATGTTTTGCAACGGAATTTTGTCGACGATTGGTTGGACTACGTCGTGGCGGTGTCCCGTGTGGTTCTTGCTGGCACGACGCTGGGACCGTCTGAAAACGCAGAAAGCGTCACTTCCCGATGAACTGCTGAATGAGGCTGCTGTCGCGGAGAGAAAACAGTTCCGGAGCAATGACGTTGTTCCACTGTTTCACGATAGGTTTGAGCATTGACATTTGCATCTCATATCATTATCGATACTTTAACATCGTTATCTTCAACATACGTGTGAGCATTCGGGTTCGTGGGCTTCATCTTGCTCATGATTTTTCATGATTTTTCCTGAAATTCTATGATTTTCCCCGACCTTTGGGAGGATTTGTCCATGGATTTTTCCCATGTCTCAGGTGCAGTGTCTGCCGGTTGGCCGTCAGATGCCACAAGTGGGAAAAGGCCGGGGTAGCCCCATGACTGAGGAAAAACCTCCGTTGGGTTACATTATAAATATCATTATATAATGTTTGACTGCCTCTAGGTTTTGAATGTTTTAACTACGTGACCATAAATGTTGAGTTGTTGTGTGATGTTTTTTGTATATGTCCGATATTCTGCAGATGTTTGCTGTCAATTTGGACCTTCGAATCAACAACTGTTTTTTGTTTTTTTTTGCAGGGTATCTAAGATTAAAGCTGCGGTATATAAATCGACCTACTAAAATATACCGTTAGATACCTTTAGATAAATCGATATTTTTGGAATGTGTAGGACTTGACCATTGGGTATTTTTTCCAGTTCTCGACCGCCAGATGAGTCCCATTGTTTCCCTGCCAGAATTGGTTGATGGGAACATTGATAGGAAACACAACAATTTGACGAAAAAAACATCCAAAACATGGGTTGCTTGTAGATTTCCCAAACAAACCCACTTGAAATCAGGCATCCAATTTCTGGTGAAGTTTCTTATTTGAAATGGCATCCGGTCCGTAGGATGCATATTGACTCAGTGGGCGTGTTGCTGGTGATCCTCTACGTTTGGGCACGGAATCTCAGACTTGGCACCGGTTCCTTCTTTGATTCAAGGTCATGATTGGTGTTGTCACATGGTAAAACTGTAGTCTTTCAGAAGGATTCACGTTGAATCCCCAGATATCCCCAGTGTTCATGGCTTGTTCTTCCATAAATCCTCATGTTTCCATTGGAAATCATGGTTCATCCCATGAAAATCACCAATGAATCCCCTTAAAATCACCACAAAAATCATCATGTCCCCATGATGTTCGATGATTTTCCCCTGATTTTCCCCTGAAAAATCACCATTTTGAAATCCCCATGTCGTTTGGAGCGAGGTCAGCGCCTCGGCGGGGGTTTACAACGAATGGCTCTACAAGGGTATTGGCAAAGATGACAACATCCACACGTCTCCTGGACACGGGAAATTCAGAGGGGGTTTTCAGTGATTTAATGGGATTTTATAGTGATTCAATGGGTTTTAATGGGATTTAATGGGATTTGATGGGATTTCATAGTGATTCAATGGGATATTAATGGGATTTACCCTCTGGTAAACTAACAGTTTGCGAACTTGAAAATGGCCATAGAAATAGTTGATTTAGCCATTGATAGCATGGTGATTTTCCATAGGTTTTTGTATGTTTACCAGAGGGTACTGGTTGGTGGTTTGGAACATTTTTTTATTTTCCCCAATAGTTGGGATGATGATTCAATGTGACGAACTCATATTTAACAGGGGGTAGGTATACCACCAATTAGTTTATGTTGGCATTATTCAATAGGAGGGTGATGGAAAAATCAGGATTTTGAATGATTTTTATGGGTCTTTTGAAGAGAAGTTAGGTCCAAAATGATGGAAAATGAATTGTTTTTAAACGGGATGTCAATCCACTGAACTGCGAACGGAACATATTTATGTTGGCAGAATTCAATAGGATAGACATAGTGGATTGACGTAGTATAATTGACATAGACATAGTGGATAGAACATCATTATTTTATGTTTACTACAATGTGGGGCCCCTCAGTTATAAGTTGGTTTATAAACCCCATGAATACTATAGTTATAAGTACCATAAACCATAGTTATTGGAGTTATGTGGCCCCCAACTTAGCTATCGAACGGGGGCCCCACATTGTATGGTTGATGTTTGCTGGGCAAATTTTAGTGGGAAACATTTTCCTACACAATCCTTGCAGAAAACTCAGAAAACGGGTGATGGAGAAAACACAATTAGGTCTCCCAGCAGGAGAGGGGTTTTTGTTTTTGCGAGATAGATCTTGGATTGAAATTTCAGAAAAAACCATGGAGATGCAATAAATGGTTACCAGTTGTAGTGTATAGAGGTTTCCTGAAATAGATCTACTCCCAAAATGGATGGTTTATAATAGAACATCCTATTAAAACGGATGCTTTAGGGGTACCACCATTTTAGGAAACCCCTTATAAATAGTTACCAGTTGTAGTATCTGAATTATATGAACCAACTGAGATATCCAGAAATGGTGAAGTTCTTTTAACCATCAAGAACCAATGGTAAGCGTTTATTAGCTGTAGTATATCTGGTTGGTGGTTTCAAACATGTTTTTTTTCCATTTCATATATGGGATGTCATCCTTCCCATTGACGAACTCCATCATTTTTCAAGATAGTTATTGCACCACCAACCAGATATGGTTTCCAGTTACCCTCTGGTAAACTAACATAACTATGGAAAATCACCATTTTCAATGGGTAGATCCACTATTTCAATGGCCATGTTCAATAGCTTTTTGTATGTTTACCAGAGGGTATACCCAGTATGAAAATGGGATATCCCTGCGCAGATCGGTGATTCCAAGGGGGTGACCTCGTGGGGATTTCAACGCGCGACTGTTTTCCAAATCACCCTTAAAATTGCTGATAAATCTGGTAAAATCTGGTAATTAATCTGATTTTTTGCTAGATCTGTGGGAATGAATTTGTCTAAAATCAGATTCAAACTTGCTGCTTTAAATCTTGACACCTCACCTTTGTTCCTTAAAAAATGGTTCTTTGAAGTTTTCATGAGTTCGAGATTTCTCATTGCGAAAGTCCTCCACTCCCATCTAATAACTGGAAGTGGTATGTTTTGTTCTCCCTGTACAACTGCAGTATCCCCTACAAAAAAACCCTCCAGTGTCATCAAAGATGGAAAATCCCCCACCTGGATCGATGATTTTCGCCGAAAAATCATCCATGGCTCGGGTAAATTTGATCACGACCGAACCCTGTTCTCCCGAGCCCTGGAAATCATGGTTAATTAATCAGGAAAGTCATCCCCAAATTAATGGCCTGCCTTAATTCAGGTTAGTGAAATATGATTTCATTTACCCAGATATGAAACCTCCATTTATGAGGGATTTCCCAGCTAGAAACATCACCAGAGGATGATAACTGGGTAGTCATATGGTGATTTCTTGGCCGAAAAAAACCCGAACAAATCCCATCATCTCCCACTGAAATCCCATTGAAATAGCTGAAAACCCATTAAAACATATTGAAGCCCCATCTGAATTTCAATCCAATCACGCTAAAATCCGATTGAAATCACCATGTTCTCTGGACACGGAAAACTCTCCAGTTCCTTCGGGCCCAGCGAGCGTGGCGTAGTCCAGGTGCAATATCCGCATCTACGTCATCGGCTGCACCGTGAATCTCGCGGCGCATCTGTGGCATAACCCCCTCAGCAGCCTTCAAACCTTGCCGGCGGCTCCCAGATTTCATGGATTGGGCGGATTTGTTCGATTTCGGTGGATTTACCCTCAATTTATCACCATTTTCCCCAGGTGTCTCCATTGAACATGCTAAAAATGTCGGAGGTAAATCTCCGCATTTCCAGACCTTCCAATGTCCTGCCAAGGACCGAGGGCTACAATCGATATTGCTGGGTTTGGCACTTGGCAGGAATTTGCGGCGTATTTACGGTAATGTGGGTAAAACAATGTCATGTTTACCAGCCATGACTGGGAATGGTTACCACATACCACCCATATATTTATGGTGATGATTGGGGGATGGTTTATGACCATGGTTGTAATTTGGGGGAGGTAAATTACCATAAATGCTTACCATATACCACCTATAAAACAATGTCATACCACCTATTTATGACATTGTTTTACCCACCAAAAGTCACCTCGGTGGCCTCCTGCTATGTTGAGGCCTTAGTGGCGACCTACTCGCTGATGGGTCTGCTGATAGCTCAGGTGCTGGACTGCGATGGGTTTTCGCTTGTTCTTGGGCGGAAAAATAGCGTAAGTGTTTTGTTTTTGAACAGGATTGAAACATGGTTTTGTATGAAAAGGATTTTTTTACAGAATTATAGAATTGAAATGTGTATGATAAGTCTCTTAGACAAGAAATCTACCCTCTGGTAAACTAACATAGCTATGGGAAATCACCATTGAAATCGTGAGTTTTCCCATGAAAAATGGTGGATCTGTCCATAGTTTTTTGGGACCAACGGAGGTGATGAAGTTCTTCGATAGCATTGTGAAGCTCTTCATTTCTGGGCGCGGTGCCCATGGATGGCTGGTGTCTCATTGGATGCCATGGAAAATCTGTGGGATGCCATGGATAGACAATTTATTGGACAGTTGGTGGGATATATACATATATATATATATATGATGATATATAATATATAATGATTATATAATGATATATAATGATATATAATGATATATATATATATATTATTGTATGGCAAATATGAGTTAAGAACTTATTAGATGTTCTACACATCTTATACAAGTGTCTAAGATCATCATTCTGGATATGTTGTGGTTGCACATTTTATCTGTCTAACTAGTTGAGGCTTGGTTATCCCCATTTGAGGGCTGCATTCAACTGGGGGAAACTCTAAAAATGTTAGGTGTGTCAACCCCGAAGACGCCAGATTTGGATGATGGTCCCCTAGAAACGTTGGCTTATATCCCGATAGATTTCACATGAAATAGCGATATTTCATAGCATCTGGTTATGACTAACATAGCCATGGAAAATCCCAACCATAAATGGAGGTTTCTAGCTGGGAAAATCATCTATTTCTATGGGCCATGGCTTCCATGGCTATGTTAAATAACCAGAGGGTAGAGGACATCAAAAAATAGGAAATTGTCATCAGATTGCAGGATCTCTACATTACATCTCCCACAAATGGGGATTATATCCTCTGGCAATCAAACGTGGCTTGCTGGAAAATCCGCATTTAGCTCGAAGCTTTTCCTAGCTAGAAACTGTCATTTAAATCGGGGATTGTCCAGCCAGCCATTTTTGATGTTGTCACATGACTTATACACATACATCTGGGTAAGTTATAACGACCTCACTGTTCTCCCTCACTGGAAATCATGGTTAGATTGCAGGAAAGTCATCCCCAAATGGCCCAACAATTCAGGTTAGTGAAATATGATCATTTGCCCAGATATATCCCATAAATTATAAATCATCATGAAAATATATAACAGGATCTTAAAAATCCGATATCTCCCAATAAAAATGCTGTGATTTTTTTTTCCCCACCGTTCTAGGTCGTCCATGTACGTCTCAGCAGTGCTTAGCTGGGCGATCTTTGGATACACGCCTACCTGGACGGGTTGATTTCTGCGGATCTCATGGGATTTCAGTTCGGACCCAGCGCCATGAGCTGATCATAAAATGACAAAATCGGACCCCAACTTTTTGGTGAAAAACTACAGATGTCCTGTTCTGAAAGTCTTGGATTCTTTGGATTGTTTGGATTGCTTGACTATTGGCTGTTGCTTCAACCCTGTTGATGTTTACAGGTCATTTCCAATGGGTAAAACCGTGGCGCGCAGGAATTTCCTGAGTGGTATGGCTTTAGTGACCGTAGCCATGGTTCGGGGCCTCGATCGCTGTCTCAACGGACTGGTTGTTAAAAAACCTTGGGAGGTGACAAAAATATGGGGATTTCATGATGGAAAATGATGATTTTTGCATTGAAAATGGTGATTTATGTATGAAAAATTGGGGAAATGATCTATTGAAGATGGTGATTTAACCCTCAAAGTAGAGATTTAGCTGCCAAGAATTGGGGTTTTAACTGTTTATATAACTATAACTATGGGGGATTGAAAGAACCAAAATGGTGATTCAACCAAACCACTTAGGATCTAAGTGGGTATTGGTCAAAATTGGTAGCTGTTTGGACCGTACTCTGATCATTTTTAGGATCTGAAACCGTATGAAACCATGCTTTTTGATTTGGTAATCTTGAGCCATACTTGAATCTCAAGTAAGTTGGGAATCGTTTCAGTATTCAGCATCTCCACTCCTGTTTTGTTCGGTACTTCTAAAAGCCTTAGCCACTTTCTTGTTTAAAACCAAACTGGTTTTGACATGAAGTTCGCCAAGCAGTATCTTAATCCGATTGGCTCAGTTCGCTGACTTGGTTGCGTCTCCCACGAGGCGTTGTACAACTACGATAGCATCAAGCTGTTCTTCAGCAAGTCCAAAGATGAATAGCTCGAATCTCAGGTCTTTGGTGGTTTTTTTCGGCCGATGTCATGACATTTTGCTGAGGTCTACACCGACAGCCTGAAGAGGCTACTGCCTAAAAACAGTCATGACTGAAAGCCCGGGTTGCGCGACGTAGTACGATTGGGAAGATGAAAAAAAAATGGGTGTCGCATTGTAAAAGGTCGCAGAGAGACTGCAAATGAGTCATCTTTTTCGGGGATGGAGTAAAGACCTAGCAGTCTTGCGCATGTAGCCACACATATTATTTATTATTCCCAACAAGACAGCTTCTGCATACAGAGTCAGCGTATCTGGCAATTGAGAATGTCAGAGAATGCTTAAGCGTATGCAAAGAGGAAATGCGGCACGTGTTGACTTTTTGTCAATCATTTGACAGAACAGTGGCACACTTGCCAGCAACACTCCCAGATGTTGCAACGGAGAAAAGTGTCTGCTACTTGGGTAGATAGCAGTCCGCTACTTGTCGTGTCTTGACATGTAATGTAGATCACGCAACGAGACATCTAGCGCATACAGAGTCAGCGTATCTGGCAAATGAGAATGTCAGAGAATGCTTAAGCTTATGCAAAGAGGAAATGCGGCACGTGTTGACTTTTTGTCAGTCATTTGACAGAACAGTGGCACACTTGCCAGCAACACTCCCAGATGTTGCAACGGAGAAAAGTGTCTCCTTCTTGGGTAGATAGCAGTCCGCTACTTGTCGTGTCTTGACATGTAATGTAGATCACGCAACGAGACATCTAGTGCATACAGAGTCAGCGTATCTGGCAAATGAGAATGTCAGAGAATGCTTAAGCTTATGCAAAGAGGAAATGCGGCACTTGTTGACTTTTTGTCAGTCATTTGACAGAACAGTGGCACACTTGCCAGCAACACTCCCAGATGTTGCAACGGAGAAAAGTGTCTGCTACTTGGGTAGATAGCAGTCCGCTACTTGTCGTGTCTTGACATGTAATGTAGATCACGCAACGAGACATCTAGTGCATACAGAGTCAGCGTATCTGGCAAATGAGAATGTCAGAGAATGCTTAAGCTTATGCAAAGAGGAAATGCGGCACGTGTTGACTTTTTGTCAGTCATTTGACAGAACAGTGGCACACTTGCCAGCAACACTCCCAGATGTTGCAACGGAGAAAAGTGTCTCTTTCTTGGGTAGATAGCAGTCCGCTACTTGTCGTGTCTTGACATGTAATGTAGATCACGCAACGAGACATCTAGTGCATACAGAGTCAGCGTATCTGGCAAATGAGAATGTCAGAGAATGCTTAAGCTTATGCAAAGAGGAAATGCGGCACGTGTTGACTTTTTGTCAGTCATTTGACAGAACAGTGGCACACTTGCCAGCAACACTCCCAGATGTTGCAACGGAGAAAAGTGTCTCCTTCTTGGGTAGATAGCAGTCCGCTACTTGTCGTGTCTTGACATGTAATGTAGATCACGCAACGAGACATCTAGTGCATACGGAGTCAGCGTATCTGGCAAATGAGAATGTCAGAGAATGCTTAAGCTTATGCAAAGAGGAAATGCGGCACGTGTTGACTTTTTGTCAGTCATTTGACAGAACAGTGGCACACTTGCCAGCAACACTCCCAGATGTTGCAACGGAGAAAAGTGTCTCCTTCTTGGGTAGATAGCAGTCCGCTACTTGTCGTGTCTTGACATGTAATGTAGATCACGCAACGAGACATCTAGTGCATACAGAGTCAGCGTATCTGGCAAATGAGAATGTCAGAGAATGCTCAAGCTGATGATCTTATGCAAAGAGGAAATGAGTTGTTTGTTGTGTCTTAAAGGTACAGATGCTGAAGGTTTTTGTTGCGAAAAACCGGTGAAGGTTGGTGTGGATGGCTTTTCTGCTTTTCGGGCACCAATTTTGGCTCAATCACTGGACAGCATAGGCGGGAATGCCACAACACAAGTAACCCAATGGATGCTTTGACCGTTTGACTCATACCTTAACTTGCTCATAGCCATACGGAACCTAATCAATCTTATGCTAACACCCAAAAAGATAGAATTTGGTGAAATCCTACTGAAATAGTGATAATTTACTTGTCTATCGTTTTGGTGGGGTACTAATCTATATGGATTGTGCTGTTATTCCAGAACCTAACCAGGCACCAGTTCCTCAATATTGAGCAAGAGATCCGCAACAGATCCAAGGATGTCATAAGCAGCATGCATCAATCGGGCAGAATGGCCAAAATGAAGGCACGCGGAATGCACGTCACGCGAATGTTGGCCGGTTGGAAAAACCAAATGGAAAAACGTGAGGTTGATTGAGAACTAATGAATGCCTGATTAGTGGCTGATTGTGAAACAAGCCATACGAATACATATAACATATATAATCATACAATCATAGAATCATATATATATATATATTATATATATAGATTATATATATATATATTGGGTAAATTCTCATGGATGTAATATCTTTCTGCTCGTTTTCAGCATTTTTCGAGGTGTGCTGGAGGTCTCAGCGTGGGATCCATGGACAAATCGATGTATCAGGAACCATGGGTTTATGGCTTTCCATGAAATTGATTGAAATGTGGATGGTATCCTTATGTGAAATTTGGAAATACAACCAGGAACCATGGGTTTCCAAATCTTGATCTCGCCATGGAAATACTCGGGCAGCATCCCATCCCATGAGCATTTTGGATTTTATCTCGGGCGAATTATCAGGACCGGGGTCCCACGATCACACAGCTTGGTGAATCAACGAATTGGTTCAGACGATGCTGGAGGTTGTCTTCAAAAAAAACTATCCGAAAAAAAAAATAACAAATGTTATATTATATGATATTATGATATATAGTCATCATCTGCCCTATTCAAGTGCCACAACTAACGGCATTTTCCAGGCCTTGGAGCCATTGGATCTGCCATGAAGGCCCGTGACACACGCGGCGTGTCGCAGAAAAAGGGTGTAGCAAGTCGAAGCACGGAGAATTTCATGGTGGAACCTCCATTAACCACCATTTAATGGGATCTAATGGGAATTTATGGAAATTTATGGTGGTTTAATGGGATCTAATGGTGGTTAATGGAGGTTTAACCTCTGGTAGACATACAAAAAACTATATGGTAGGTACCTCCAATGAATCGGTTCCTGAAATGGTCATTGAACGAATGAATCGCAGAGTTAGTAACTGGTAAACATACAAAAAGCTATAGAAAATCACCATTTTGAATAGGTAAATCAACGAACTAAATGTATATCCAGTATATCCCATTAATATCTGGTTGGTGGTTTGGAACATGAATTTTATTTTTCCATATACTGGGAATGTCATCATCCCAACTGACTTTCATATTTTTCAGAGGGGTTGAAACCACCAACCAGTTAGTAACTGGGACGAATATAACTTAGTATACGAACTAGTTACTATTTCCCAGTTTTCGTACATAGTAACTATTAGTATTCGGAGACCCTCCCACGAATCGCAGTTCGAAAAACTGGGATTCATTAGTTCAGCCGCTCAAAAGACGGGATATGATCCCACGAATCAGGGACTTACGCAGCAGGGTTACTCAATGTTGCTGTGTTGATTCACCATTTTTGGGGGTAAGGACCCGCAGACAGTACATCAAAACTGAGTACATGATCGGTCAAAAAATGGTTTCGTCATGGGATATACCTTCTGGCCATATGTGGCCATTTCTTTAGGGAAAATGATGATTAACCAATGGATTTAGAGGTACCATGTTTTCAGACAAACCCAGAATCCCTAGCCAAACATTTCAGGTTAGTGAATTATTTTAATTTACCCAGAATCAAATGCTATCTGCAGTCCATCATACTATCACACTTCATCCATGTATGCTATCAAGACATCAGTGTCCATCAAGAACTTGACACACGATGATGAGCATGTAAGGCACAATTGCATTGCAAATTACGTGGGTTTGTTGAAGATGATGTGTTGTTTATTGGTAAATTCACCAGAACTCGATAGAACTGGAGAACAAATCCTATGGGAAAAGCAGGCTCGCAAATCGGAAATTACACATCATCTCGTTCCCCAAATGGCCCAAGAATCAGGTTAGTGAAATGTTATAATTTACCCATATATATATAGGCACTATGGAACTATAGATACACATTAATACTGGTAGATATATACTATATACTATATACTATATACTATATACTATTTACATAGAACTGGAACATGTTATATATTTATATAGAATTTGACATAGATATATATATATATCACTATATCACTGTATCACTATCTACACATCATAGAACTCGTTCATGTTCATTGAGAAAAGTTGTGCTTCGGATCCTTCGGATCTCGCCAGGATCTGGATGGGCAGAGTCTGGAACTCGTGGTGGACTAGTCGCCATAAAAGTGGTGGTTAATAGTGATTGATAGTGATTAATAATGGGATAATAGTGATTAATAATGGTTAATAGTGTTAATAGCCTGGCCTAAAGATTGATATTGGTTACCCTCTGGTAAATTAACAGTTGGACACTGAAAATCACCCATTTTCAGTGGAAACTAATCTTCCGACCCCTTTTTCTGCCAGGGTCTATGTTAATTTACTAGAGGGTAATAGTGATTACCCTCTGGTAAACTAACATAACTACGGAAAATCATCTTTCTTAATGGGTAAATCAACTACAAATGGCCATTTTCAATAGCTATGTTTGTTTACCAGAGGGTAATAGTGGGCAAGAATGGTTAAATCCATCAACTATAGTATCCATTTAAAAAAATGGGCTGATATGTTTCTTAGATATGTTTGATCGACGATATGTTTCTCCATCTATGGTAAAATGTAGTGGTGGGAAATCTGCTGTTTTTGTTTCTGATCTAATCATAAGTAGCTTTGATTAGAACCATTGGATCATTGATTGAGGAATCCATGTTAAATGAAAACAGAAGCCTACGTTGATCTTGAGTTGGACATCCATCCACAAACAGTATGGTAATAGTGGTTGATAGTGATTAATAATGGGATAATAGTGGTTTTTCTAGTGGTAATTCGTAATCCTCAAAAGATTCAGAAAAGTCTTCATCATTATGTTGGTAGTTGATTTCACTGTTCCCCTTTTTTTTCGAGGCTTGCTATGATGTGGGATTCACCCAATGCCAACATCCCCTTGGTGAACCAGTGATGGTGGTCATCGTGGCATACCCAATGTCATAAACCCACCATTTGGGGATGGGTTTATCAGAATTAGTGGGGTAATTATTGGATTATTGGTAAGGATTGGGTAATTGAATGAAATATTAATCATATACCAATAGTATTCAATATTCATTATTGGATAGTATCAATATCCAATAATACCAATTGACATAAAGGTAATTATTGGTAGAAAAAACCTCTATAGTGGTATTGAATTATTGCAGCATTAGAATCCAATATGATCCCAGAATTGGGCCTACTGAGTATCCCATAAGTTGCCATTTTATCACTATAGTAGGGATTCCCTTTTCTAAAATATATTGGATACTACTAAATTTTGATCACTATATTTTATCACTACTTTTTTTGGGGATAACTGTAATTATAACTATCACTATATCTGCTTTGTGGTTTCAATCATGTTTTATTTTCCATTTCATATATGGGATGTCATCCTTCCCATTGACGAACTCAGATTTTTCAGAGGGGTAGGTATACCACCAACCAGGTTATGATTGACCATCATTGACCATATATTAACCATATATTAACCATATAAAAACCATATAATAACCATATAGTAACCATATATTTTACTGGGATTGTTTACGAATTTCGGCATTTTTGGGGTTTGCCAAAACCCAATTCATCGAGGCGATGGAGGTCGCTCCGCCAGATCCTGTTTGAGTGGCTCCGCGCGAGCAGGGAGACCTCGACCCGGCGGAGTTCAACCTTTAGTTATGACTAACATAGCCATGGAAAATATGGAAAATAAGCCATTTATAGATGAATTATGATGAATTACCTGTTAAAAATGATGATTTTCCATTTTCTGATGTATACGTAGTATATATTCATAGTTCATAATAATGCAAATAATAATGGAATATCATACTGGTTATGACTAAAATAGCCATGGAAAATAAGCCATTAATATAGATGAATCATGATGAATTATGATGATTTAGCTGTTATAAAAATGATGAATTATGATGATCTTGTGCAATACAATGATGCATGTACATTGCCATTGCCATGTGTATATCAAGACTATTTAATATATTATAATAAACTATATCTGGTTGGTGGTTTGGAACATGAATTTTATGACTTCCCATATATTGGGAATGTCATCATCCCAACTGACGAACTCATATTTTTCAGAGGGCTTGAAACCACCAACCAGTACATATGTATGCACATGTATTTGATAAATGTGTAATTATGTACATCTATGTGTACATGTACCTTCTGGTAAACTAACATAACTATGGAAAATCACCATGTTATTAATGGGTAAATCAACGAACTAAATGGCCATTTTCAATAGCAAACTGTTTGTTTACAAGGCCGGGTACATGTTTGTGACCACTCGTGATGCTCGTCACGGGTATCTCTTTCAAGGTGCGCAAACTCTACACTCTCCGTCGAGCCGAGCAAGATCTGTGGCAGACCCAGCGGAAGTTTATGGTGGGAATCACTGGATCATCGGCGTGGATAACGTTAGACGATTCCTTTCCTGCAGACGTTGGATCATCTTTGGGATTTTCTTTACATCTTGATCATCTTGGGAAAAGATGGAAAAAAAGATGGAAAAAAAAAACGTTCACAAAATCATCTTGGTCTTATCAACATGGGTCTTGAAGATGTGTTTTGTTAATGTTAAGACCCCTTTTTCACAAACTGATAACTGCTGGCAAGCTCCAAGACGAAACCACTTTTTGTGAAGAACTGGTTGACTCTTGTTGTACTTGTCGTATTGGGATATAAACAACAAATATAGGGGGTCTACTTCTACCAAAAGATGATCCAATCAATGGGATTGCAACATATTGCAACGATGATCAAGAATCTGAATGTTGCTTCCCGGACTTTTCGATCCCTAGGATGCACGAGCCAAGCCAGAAAGTGCCTGCGACAAAGCCTCGTCTGTGAACTCAGATGGCAGCTCGTAGGTAAACAGATTTTTAAAAAGAAAAAGATCAATTGGCATGGTGATACTACTTTAAAAGTCTTCTAGTAAATTGCTATTGTTACTCAAATGGTTGTGTTAGACTCGGTGGTTAGACTCGGTGGAGACGATGAGTCCTTCGGGATTGGGGATTCTGGAGGTTGTTTGAACATGTTGGGAAAAAGCTATCATGTGTTTACCCTCTGGTAAACATACAAAAAACTGTGGAAAATCACCACTTTTTATGGGTAAATCAACTATTTCTATGGCAATTTTCAATAGCTATGTTAGTTCACCAGAGGGTAACTATGATGATAAGATGATTTTTTAACTGATGATTAAATGCATGATCATCTCAAATGATGATTAAATGAATCATCGTGTTTCCTCATTAAACTGCCCAAGAAAGTTGCGTTACCCCATTCCAGACAAACCCAAGGCAGCTATGACTCCATCTATAACCTAGATTGTTTGGTTATATCCCTTAACAATATCCCCAAATCATATCCCATCAAATGGTTGCTTGGTAACTGTATCCTAATATGCTGATTGTCCATTTTAAACTGTTGCATATGTGTCTAATGTTGATAATGGGGATGCATATGGGGATACAAACAATAATCAACATATAAGAATACGTTAATATAATATAATATAATTTAATATAATTTAATATAATATAATATAATAAAATATAATTGAATATTATATAATTGATTATATAATTTAATATAATATATATATATATATATTCGCATAGATACATGTATAGATAGATATATAGATGGATAGATAGATCGATAGATAGCACAATAAGATTCTCCACGATGACGTGCATCCCAGGCGCCGCCTGGACGGATCATGCACCTGCGCCTCGTTCAGAAAGAGAACTGGTGGATAGATAAATCATCTGAAGAACTGGGATTTTATATTGATTTTATATGGGTTATATATGGATTATATGGATTATATATGGTAATAGTGTTTTTAATGATGGGTAATGGTTTATAAATGATGATTAATGGATTACTAGTGGGATTAGTGATGGATCTAATGGAGGATATATTAGTGGCATACAATGAATCATGGATCTAATAGATAATATATGGAGGTTTCCTAAACAACTGGTGAGGGACCATTATATATTTGGGGGGTTCTTCAGATGGGGGACCCCCGGGGTGGTCATCCATGTCTTGGATGGGTTCGGGGTACCCAATTTTACGAAACCTCCATATATTCTATATAGTAATTATACATTGAAAATGGAAATAGAATTGGATGCAATGGGAGATATTGGCAATACTATATATCGCGGTGTGTTCCGAAAATTTTGCACATAGCCCAATTGATGGATTTGTTTTTACTCTAACAGGGAGAATGATGTTTTAAACTATGGGATTTTTGCGGCATACCACCTTTTCCACACGCACCCAGATGGGTTTTTTAACTGAAATATGATGACAAACTACCAGATGTGGTGGTTTCAAGAGAAAAAAACCATTGGCTTTACCAGTCCCAGAAATGTTTTTTTCAAGGAAAAACAGATGATTTTATCCCTTCAGCAAGTAAATCCATGCTTTGCTGTAGATGTAGCAACGAATCCAATGAAGCAGGATCTGGAATTTTGAGGATCAATGTTCTGGTAGTGGGATGTGAGCCAACGATGTGGCTGAGATGGGAAAAAGCAGAAGCGATAGCAATTTGTTGCCAAATCGAAATGCGGAAAACGAAGCATTTTTCACCAATGCATGGTGATGTTCATGGGTTTTTTTTTCGGGCAGTTTTCGGAAGCCCAGATCCGCGGCACTGATAGGTTGTTGATACCCCATTGGTTGGTTGCTTCAACTCCAATCATGGTGGTTCAACCATCAAAATGCTGGGAAACCCCGTAAAAATGGTGGGTATATCGGTATATCTATCATGTGGTGGAAAACTAAATGCGTAGCTCCAACTGGCTACCATTTCTTTATTGTTGGGAATATGTTCATACCATTGAATTGCCAAGGCTCCGCGCCGCGAAAATTCCTATCATCGTCCCGTTCGGAATAGGTTTTTTGGGGGGAATAGTATGGGGCCCTGAGGTCCCTTGAAAAAAATCCAGCAAGCCATACCAAGTTTTGCCATGGTGGACACCCCATGCTGTTTGCCCAAGCACCGTGGATTGGGATCTCAACTTGGTATGTGCTTCAGACAGACTTGGATGCTGGGAAACTCTGGGCTTTATCCCCAATCAAATTGATGGTGTTATCGAAAACGAAAACCCATGGTTTACAGTCAAGATCTTCCCAAACCAAAGCATTGTACCACCGATGTGAGTTCTTGGGTATGGTCAAGTCATTGACTACCTCCATAATTCAATGGTTAGTACTACCAAATAGGCTGATGTGGTAAACCCAATGCCATGAACCTACCATTTGGGGATGGTTGATGCCATCCATTTGTGGTCATATATTGGGGAAGGGCTATAATTTTGTTTTTGACCTTATATAGAATCTAACATCGAACAAAATCGAACGAACTAGCGAAAACGAACAAATCGTTTAAAATATCTGGTCCTCTGAAAAAAAAAGACCGCTATCCACTCCTTAAGACTCAGGAAGTCATGGTTCTGGGACATCTGGTTATATATGTTAGCTACAGGAGGTCTTGGCGTGATTTGAACCCACCCAAATGGGTATGTTTGTGAAAATTTAAGCCCCCAGAAGGGACCACAGATGTTATTATTGCTTAGTATGAATCATCAAGTTATTGGGGTACCCAATTTTGACCCATACCCATACAGATGACGAAAATATTCCACTTGGATATTATACATATATATATATACATATACATATATATATATTTATATTATTTTATTTTGTACATATTACCATGACCATGACGTTTGACCATATCTATTTAGTTCTTAATATGTGTTTCGTTATTTTTATGTTGTTCTGGTCATCTCAAGGCACTCCACGTACGATTTCGATGTGCCATGGCGATGATGAATCGTTTTTGCCAAGGTGTGGTTGGCAGATGATTTCCTCGCACCAACAGACCGCTACATCTTCGGGGAGGTTGGGGAAAACTCCGAGTCCGAGTGGAAGTACCAGGTAGCCTCTGTTGTCGACATGGATGAGGATATCCTGGGGATAACATACCACTATTTAATTACCATTAATCACCATTATATCACCATTAATCACCATTAATCACCATGAATTACCATTAATTACCATTAATTGCCATCTATATGTGGGAATTCAGTGGGAATTCTTGAGGTCGCTTGAGGTTACCCTCTGAGCATCTACTTTCCAAGTAGCCGCTATTGAAGAGTTGGATGATTTTCCTGGCGACAAAGACCCCCATCAAAATTATGACCCCCATCAAGACATAGCCACGGAAAACTCAATGGTAAACTTAGTTTGGTAAAGCCAGAATATATGTGTATATATATATACAGGAACAATGGTAAATAATCTCTCAAAATAGCTATGCCATAAACTGACCACACATATTGGCAAACTATTAGATTTTTTTGATGGCAAATCATATGCCAAACCTCTGTCAATATGATCTCCCCAGGTGCCACCTTCAATGAAAAAAACCAGAGTACCGACCTGACAAAACACCGTTTGGTTTTTCCGGTTTACCCGGTACCTGGTTTCTACATACAAAAAGTGAACTGGAAAATCACCATTTTTACGAGGTAAATCAAGAATAAATGGTCCATGTTCAAGTTCGCAAACTGTAAACGTTTACCAGGTCGGGTAAATATGCTCCCAACTGAAAATCCCCTCTGAATTTGCCTATCAAATCATCATCATTTCTTCCATGGCCATTTGGATGTTGGTTCCTGTTGAAACCCAAAAAATCTCGGCGTCTCGAAAAACGGTTCGTGGCTGTCCCGAGAATACGATGTTTCTAAAATGGTACGAATTCCAGATTTTCAAACAGCCATAGATCTTAGTAAATTATACCACTGGTTGGTGGTTTGGAACCATGGAATTTTATGACTTTCTATTCAGTTGGGGATGTCATTATCCCAACTGACGAACTCATATTTTTCAGAGGGTTTGAAACCACCAACCAGTAAATTATACCAGAAATGAAGCCAGGGATAGTTCCTCCAATTCAGACCATGATTTCTACGTTGTGGTGACCTCAAGATACACCCAGATTATGGGCGTGTCTGAAAATGGAGCATACCTCTCAGTGGCTATTTGAATATATAGAATCCAATGGAATCCCATGAATTTGGAACACGATGTTCAGACAAAGCCATATGAGATATGTATAACATAAGACATAAGTCTACATATTCTATCCCCATATGTCCATATATATCTTCATGTTGTCCACATGTTGCCATCTCCAAAGAACTCTTACACCTCCAGGCAGATCGGGCCCCACCGGAACTCAACGAGGTGCGCCGTGTCGTGGTCTTTCCGATGAAAAATGTGGGGATCCCATCCTGAGATTAAACACACGCCCAACATGGAATATGGAGGTTTCCTGCTATGATTGTACCCCAACTGGTTGGTGGTTTGGAACATGAATTTTCTGACGTTCCCATATATTGGGAATGTCGTCATCTCAACTGACGAACTCCATCATTTTTCAGAGTGGTAGGGCTCAACCACCAACCAGCCAATAGCTGGATGGTTTATTTCACTGGAAATCCCAACCAAAAAATGGTAACTGGGGGGTACCCCCATTTTTACGACATTTTCATATCAGGATTCAACCAACAAACCATCAATGGATTGGTAGGGAAAATCTGATGCGGAAACCATGGGGTTTTCCCTCGACCAACCCAGTGACCCAAATTTTTGTTACACAGCCTCGATGGATTCCATATGTGCACATCCCCTACGAAATCCATGGGTTTCTGGGTGGTGTTTGGTTATCTGTTTGGTGGTTTGGAACCATGGAATTTTATGACTTTGCATATATTGGGAATTTCATACTCCCAACTGACGAACTCATATTTTTCAGATGGGTTCAAACCACCAACCAGATTACTTGGGGAAGGGATTACATGATAAATGATGGTTTGTTTGTGATCATTACCATTTCATGGGGATGTAATGGTGACATAATGGGATGTACCCTCTGGTAAATAATGTAGCTATTGAAAATGTGAATTTATGGTTGATTTACCTACAAAAAATGGTGATTTTCCATGGGTATGTGAATTTACCAGAAGGCAACTAGAATAGAATCATGTAATATGATCGGTAACCCTGGTGGTTTCTTTGGGATAATTATCATAATGGTCTGATTATATGCAGATGGTAACCAGATACCATATCATATAACCAGACGGTGGTTATGAATATAGGACCCCGCAATATCTTTCCCCAAAGCCATCATCCCAGACCTTTTCAGGTGAATTGAGCCATTGAAAGTTATGTTGTTGGTTAGAATCAACGTTTGTACCACCTGGCTTCATAAGGATATTCATTTCTATAGCTAGTGAATATACTGGGACAATGGTATGTTCTTGGCACCAAAAAGGGAAGTGAGGTCAAGCTCTTTGCCCTATCTGAACTACCACATGTCAGTGCATATGTTCGCATCTCTATATCATATATGATTTGCACAAATATGTCTAAGCACAACAAAAGATGTACATATGTATATATATATATGTGTGTGTATATATTCTAGATTCATTGATTACTACTCTACGAAAAACAACAATAAGAAAAGAAGAGTTAAAAAGACATTCCGGAGTATCTCATTATTACTATATATATATACATATGTACATAGAAATATTTACATATATATATATATACGTTATGTATATATACATATGTATGATCACAGAACTTTATCTATCTATATATATATAGAGATTAACTTTTCTGTAAAAGTGTATCTTTTCTTTACATATATATACCATTATATATGTATATTGGATATATGTTCTGTTGATATCATCCCGCAGGATCCCCCGGATCGCTCTCTGATGACCCATCGCGACTTCATTGCCTCGCGGGAGCGACGAAACGCCCAGGTCTCCCCGGGGTGAGGAACCCATGGATGGTATGGGAAAACCATGGGAAAACCATGGGAAAATCATAGGAAACCATAGGAAAATCATAGGAAAAATGTTGTAAAAATGGTGATTTCATGGGAAACCCAGTGGGAAACTAGCTAGAAACATGGGATATCATATGATCTGGTGATTTAAGGGTGATTTATATAATTGGGTTTTATCTTCTATCTATCAATCCATCCATCCATCCATCCACCTACCGGGCTACCTTTGTACCATCTATCGGTTTATCGACCTAACACTCGATCGGTCTATCGATGTGTCGATTTATCAGACGTTCTCTCTATCTATGTCCATGTAATCTATCTGTTCTAACCTTGCTTAGTTTAGTCCGGTTGCATCCAGTTTGATGTAATCTAGTCTTCTCACCCCTATGGAACATTAACTTAAGCTAATCTAATCCAACCCAAAATCTAATCCAATCTATCTGATCTAATTTAGTCTATTTAAACCTATCCAATCTATCTGCCTTTCTCTTTTCATCTAACCTTAATCTAATGGACCCTATGCTACTCTAACCTAATCTAGTCAAACTTAATCTAATCTAAGAAATCTAACTGTTAAACCTGTTCTATTCATGTTCTACTCTTCTCGTATTGTATCGTGGTTCTTTGCCCAGGAGAACCGTGAACGCTTCGGCGAGTTCCTGGCGAAATCCCGGGATTTTACCCGTTTGCCGCGCAGGTGGGATGAAAACCAGTTGGGTTCCCAAAATTGCTGGGTGAAAAAACATCATCAGCCATAATAATCGACTTCTTAGCCAGTGAGTCAATAATAATAGTAATCATCATCATCATCATCATCACCATCATCATCATCATCATCATCCCTTGATCTATGGCAAGAAATGACTGGTACAAAAAGTGGGAAGGTCATGACTGGGATCATCTATAAATGGGGTTTTATGCTTCGAAATCATCTAGAAATCGGTTTTCAGCCGGCATCATTGTCTGATCTATGGTTTGAAATGGTGATTTTATGAAGTGAAGAATTCCGACATTTCTATTGCTGTCCGAAAGTTGGTCACGATGTTGGTTTGATGGCTTGAAGCAACAGAAATGGAAGTATAAACCAACAATGATGGGGATATAATGGAGTTTGATGTTCAGGTGTGGCTGAACTGAAAAGGATGCTTTACCTCAAGATCTGACCACGTTTAGAGACAAAATGGCGTGTTCAACCAATGCATCTCCGGGTTGCCTATTTTCAGACAATCCCAGTTGGATGTACGTCCTATGAATGGTAAGTACTATACGGAAAATGTGGTTTGATAGTGGTGCGTACCATATATGGAATTTGATTCTAAAGTCTCGCGGTTTAAATGCAGTCATTGGGATGACCAAGTAGCAGTAGCAACCACATTACTGTACGTACTTGGGGGTGCACCCAGTTAGCATGTGAGTAACAATCATACAACAACCCCCACTATTAACTAGTTATAGTCTATATCCCAATAAGTGAGTAACAACCATATAGCCAGCTATAAACAACCCAGTAACATCCCCACTTCTGTGTGGATTGTCCCCTATGGGTTAACCACGGATCGCCAAGGAGGAGAATCCAGCTTCTGGAAAGCCCCTCGCCACGTTGAGATGGCGGGTTGGTCCAAATATGAACCCAAAAATGCTGGATGGATAGCCAGAGACACCTAGATTTTTCCACCGTTTTGAGAGGTCAATTTAGGATTTACCTCAAAAACTCACTGTTTTTTGAAGGGGATCAACCGGCAAATAGATTTTGGGATGCCCCACTTTTGGAGAAACAGATGCTTGTATATTGTTTTCAGTAGCAACAGCAACAGTCTTAGGTAGCGGCAGAACACCACTTGCAAGCTGAGAGACCGCAGTGCCACGTTTTTTTTGGTATGATGATTTCTTGATTGTTGCAACCACGATTTGCTGCATTTATTATCAGTTGCCTCATCCGTTTGGTTCTGCATTTTGCAGAAGAAATGACACGTGATTTAGCTGGCGAAATCGCCAGTTTGTACCCATTTGGGTATCTCTGAAGATTGGATATATATATATATATAATTATATATATATGTATATGGTTGGTGGTTTGGAACATGTTTCCCATATATTGGGAATAATAATCCCAACTGACTAATATGTTTCAGAGGGGTTGAAACCACCAACCAGATATATATATCCTTCAAGTGGTAAATGATAAAATTTCGGTAGACCATCAAGTTTTGGTGTGCCATACGACGACCAGGTTTGGAAAAGGATGAGGCTGGTGATCTCATGATTGCGGCGATTATGTGCTCTTAATGAAGCATTGGTTTTGGTTGCTTAAAGTGAATGATTTTGTGTATTACCCTAGAGCTTTCATGTTTAGATAGATGTGGAACACCCATATTTTTCCTGGAAAATGATCTGCAAATTGTGGAGTTGTCCACATCTATGTAAACGTTTACTGGGGAGTAGTCACGCACCCCGCAGAAAACCCATGATTTTGCACAACGGACCCGTTTGTCATTCTGCGTTCCGATTGTCCCCGGGTGCGAATGACGAAAAGCGTCGATGGATCCCAATCAGCGAGTTATGGGAAATATTCTTCACCGTTGATCATCAAGAACTAGCCTCTGGTAAACATACAAAAAGCTATAGAAAATCACCATTTTGAATAGGTAATTAATTCAACAAACTAAATGTGGTATTTTCAATAGCTATGTAACAAATTACCAGAGGTATGTTTTTCTGGAGTAAAGATGAATGGGAGAAGAACATAATGTCTCTAGGATCAAAATGTTATTGAATATCCCGTAATTGACACTCATTACGAATATATCCGAATCAAGAATATCAAATCAGTTTGCCAATTACCATTAATTATTACAAGAACAGAGTTCCCCATTCTTATTCCCAATACATGGCCTAAAAATATTCCCTTAAGATTGCTGGTTTGTAATTCGTTTTCCCAGTACCAGCTGTGATAAACAAAACGGAATACTGATCATGACCAGTAGTAATGACTGATTGAATGGTACCCTTTGCAATAGTCGTTTTAATTCTTCGGGAAACTAACTTCGATTATTAGAATCCCTAATACTTCTAAGACAATGATCCATTATTCCATTTCCCATGTTGTAAGAACAAGTGGCTGAACTACTATCACTAAAATCCAATTTGATCCAATTTAAATGATAGTAATTCAATTACTTTTATTGTAGTACACCATCTCTGTTATGGTATCTAATTTCGATTCTTAATCAGATAACCATAGTAATAACTTTAAATGGAAATCCCAGTAATGTCTCCACTGTTGAATGAATTATCCCACGAATAACTGAATATCCTAATTGTTGTCATGATTACTAATTTTAATATACATAATGATGTTTGTATATCCTATTTGCAATTTTGATATTGCAGTATAATCCAGTTATCAATGAGAGATATCCCATTAATATACGTACATATATGTGTATATATATACATATGTCCATTATGGTCATGGATTAAATCCCATTAAACCACCATTAAACCACTATAACTCACCATAGATCCCATCAAATCACCATTAAATCCAAAAAATATGGATCATATCCCATTAATATTCCATGAAGTCCCATGAATGTCCATTACATAGGTTCCATATCCATATCACCATCTGGGTAAATTATAACGAGGATTTGGGCTCAGGCTTCACGTGCCAATCCTGTCTTAGTTTCTGAGACTAAGCGAATGAGCCATGTCGTATGAGAAGATCCTGGAAGATTATGATGTTTTGGGAACGAAAGGATGTTTGCCATTCAAGCGAAGAAACAACCTGTTGATCACTGTTGATGAAGTGTATCCTCAGTTTGGAAAGTTTGCATTTCAATTCACCCAAATCGCTCCAGAAGGATTAGGCATTGGAACTTTCAACATGGACATGCTTGAAATCCCAGCTGACTGTAACTTGGAGAGCCAGCAACTGTTGATTTGGAAAGCTACTGAGCCACCCAAACTGCATGTGCCTATTTGGATTTTTGATGTGCAAGAACACTTGTCCTATCGGGACCAGTTCATGTATACCTACATCTACGATCATGCATCCTCATGGGCTCCGCTACCATCACCTGACCAAGATCAGCCATTTCGAGTGGCTGAGTTGTTTGCAGGAGGTTTTGGGGGTTGGAAAGCAGCCGGTAGTGTCATCCGCCAATACTGTGAGGTCCAGAGTCAGTTTATAAGTGTTGAACATTGTTTGCCAACAGCCATCGCGTTTGCAATCACCCACAAGACTGGTTTCATCCCTGGTACTGAGTTTTTGCATGCAGGATCGTTTGATAACAAGAAGAATTGGATTGTTTTGGCCGATGTTTTTGACACACGCCTGAGACTTCCATTGGCCACATGGGCACCAAACATGATCACCATCTCTGCACCATGCCCTCCATGGAGTGGAGCAGCCCATCCACCCGGACTGAATAGCGAGGATGGCCAAATGCTGATGAAGGCAATTCTTGAGTGCCGATGGTATCGACCACACATGATACTTATTGAACAGGTACTGGGATTCAATCACCACCCTCACAAAAAAGAAATCATCAGGACTTTGCATCATGTCGGTTTTCGGTTGATCATGCAGAAAACTTTGGACTTGCAGGATCTGACATACACTTCACGTGTGAGGTGGTTGGGGCTGGCTATTCGGGTCCATTCCAATCTGCCGTTTTGTCCTTTGCAGAATTGGCCAAAGATAGAACACAACCAGCATCCGTTTCCGAAAATGACCTTGCCAGCCGAAATGGTCAATCAAACTGCTGTCACAGAACCTGTCAAACAGGTTGCATCCGATGTCCGATTTGCCAAGAACATGCCAGGGAAATCATCAACCGAGGTATTGAAATCACGCATTTATCAAGCAGGTGACATATTGCCCACCTTCATGGCCAGATATGGTTCACAGCACTGCATTGATTCAAGTCTTTTGCAAAGCCATGGATATTTTGGCCATTTTGTTGCGGATGGGAATGCCCCAAATGGTTTTCGATTTTGGCATGCTGCTGAAATTGCGATGATCCACGGTGTTTTTGAGGGATGTTTTTTGCCCACAAATCAAGCTGAAGCCAATCAACTCTTGGGCAACATGATTTCGACTCAACATGCCCTTGTGCTATTGGTCAATGGAATGAACAGAATTTTGCAGTCACCAATTGATTTGAAGAAGGTTTGCGCATTTTTCCATGCATCCCAGGTTGTTCCATCAGCATGTCAGATGATTGATATGGCCAATGGATACTACCTTACACACCGTGACACACTCATGTTACACAGCTTTCAAACGCATGTGGAATTGTTGCATAGATGGGCCTTCCAACACGACACCATGCATGTGTGGTTGCCAGATCATGGACTGCTCCTACATGACCAGATTCCTGAAGCCATTGCACGTAGGATTGCGCCATCCGTCATCACCATCACAGATGCATCCGACACATCCGAAGAGCCAGAGCATGACGTTGACCCATGGCATCCATTCCTCCAAGGGGAATTGAAAGCAGCCCACAACAGTACCTTTTGGTATAGTGCGGACCTGCCTGGAAGTGTGATTGAAAGAGTATGGGCACATGAATATCAGTTGACTTTCCAATCAGTGGAAGACAGAAGAACTGCCATCATGCAGCGACCTGACACTGTGCCAGCTTGCATTCCCGAAGTTTCAAATCAGTGCGTAGTATCCCTCATTGACGGAGAACTCACCATCACCTCCGTCAACCCAGATCAACCATTGATGAAACAGGATCGGATCAAGAGCATTGCACCTATTCTGTACGACCAGTACGGACAGATGGACATCATATCAAAACCGAAGTTTTCCACAGTCCTGTTGGATCAGCCATTGCAACCGGGCACTTTGCCTCAACATTTGGCTTTTTATGCAGCGGCCAATCAACAAATCACCACCAACTTTTTCCAGAGCCATGATGATGACACTTTTGTGATCCAATTTCAAGGTAGCCAGCCTTGCATTGCCATCATGAAAGAGTTTTGGACCAATAGCATTCAACCTGATTCATTGCATCAACTGGGACGTAGATGTGAAGATCAAGCCAATGAACTTCGGTTCACTGCCATCCCGAATCAAGGTACCTGCCCGATTCCTATTTTCCGAGATGCACTGGCTGTTTTGGCAGCCAAAGCACTGCTCAATGCGGCAGTTGACACCAGCACTACAGCGACTGAGGTTTTGATCAAATGGGATCGACCAGTGTGGCGAGGCATGCTCCCCGCCGACACATCAATCCAAACAGTGCAAATGCTGCTTCAATTTGCTTTCTCACCTGCCATTCACAACACACCGCTGCGCGTGGTCAGTAATGGTAAGACCCAGCCTTCGGACACCATGATTGGTCAACTCCAAGGATCACCACACAGACAACATGCAGTCATCCTCTTTGCCACTGCAGCATTGAGAGGGGGTGGGACCAAACAACAGCAAAAAGCAGTCATGCAAAATGCAATTGCCACAACGCTCTTGGACCAGGGCTATGAACTCAGTTGGACCACTGCCACTGTTGACAGCATAGTGCAGAAAACCAATTTGCAAAGACTTCAGACCATCACTGCCAGAAACAAAGCATCCGAACGTTTGCAGGAAGTTTTGCAATTATGCCGTGAACACAAGATTGACATTCCACAGCCTGCTGCCTCCACCACACGTGAAGCCTTTGCGGGAGCACCTTGGAATAAGAAAAAGAAGAAGCCAGAATTCAGCATCCGACCGCAGGATTACACAATCACATCAGGGTTTTTCACCAACGATGACGGAACTGATGCCGTACAAATTTCCAGCATCCGACCACAAGCCACAGGTGTAGCTCTGATGAATGCCGCTGATGCACTCCCTTTCTTGCATGCAGGACAAAAAACTAGCACGGATGAGCTCGCCTTAATTGCACTCGGGCCACTGCCACCAACAGACATGAAAGGAGAAGAAGTGACCATTCCATGTACCAATCCTCATGGACACCAAGTGCTATTGCATGGGAAAATGTTCCAGTTGGGTGGTAAAGATATTCAAATCAACAAGGGAGCCACAACGCAGATCCAGTCAGATGCCTGTCAACTGTTTGCCATTACGTTGTACAAAGACACATGGAAAGAACATCAATGGCAAGACATCATTTCAGGAACCATGGGATTCATCAGGCGCATTTTGCAAGCCGATGCCTTAGATACCTCCATACATGCCATCTGGGGGAGAAGTCTCAGACAGGGAAAAGCAGCTGCTTCACCAGCTC